TAACAGAAAGTTCAGGGACCAATTTGGGAAAAAGAAAGATTCATAAACATCTGGGAACCATGGAATATACCTTCTGTTGGTCAGAAATGAATGTGAAATTACTCCTTGATCCAATCACCATGTCTTTTTGCAGCTCCTCAAGGAACCAGATCCATGTCTTTGTGGTTTCACCTTCCACGGCTACCCATGCAAGTGGATACATTTGGTTGTTTGCATCCCTAGAAACAGCAACCAATAATACTCCTTTGAACGCTCCTTAAAGGAAAGCACCATCAAGACCAATAACACGCCTGCAACCAGCTACAAATCCCAGCTTCATTGCAGAAAAACATATGTACATCCTTAAGAAAACAGGATTTAAATCTGTAGTTGGCCTTGATGCCGATATAATGACGGTGGCAACAGGGTCTTTCGATCGAAGCTCTGCAGCATAATCCCATAATTTACCATATTCCATCTTGCAATCACCCTCAAATGCCTTCCCAATCTTCTCCTTCACCTTTTTCAGTTGATGGTCAGATAACTCAACACTTAACTCTTTCCTAATGACATTATAAATGTCAGTTCTCCTCATGTACAAGGCAGTAAACCCTCTGTGCCTCACCAAGTGCTTTGCAGCTACTGTTGAGTTGTATCGCTTGTTCTTCTTTAACAGCCAGTGGCATGTATGCTCAGACACAAATGTCTTCACCATCCAGGATTCAGTTGGTGCATCCATTGCCAAATAAATCTGCCACGGACAATCTGGTGCCTTCACACATGATGCCCTACATCTTATATTTTCATTTTTTATCCATTTAATATCTCGCCTCTGCTTGAGGTTCCACTTATTCATAGCATCCCTAAATTGTTGCTTGTTGGTAAACATCATTCCTAATCTAATGTCAGGAGTCTCATCATCTCCTGGCTCTTGATAAACCTTATGCGTGGCCCGTCTCCTTTTACCATGTTCGGCTTCACTCGCTTCATCGTCAAATGTTGAGAGATAGCTATCTTCTTCATCACTCCCTATCTCATCAACTTCATCCAAATGTTGTCCACTTGGTCCTCCAGCACTAGAACCTGCTAAACAATATAGATTCTCCATTAAAGAAAGTCACATAGTGAAGAACTCAGAACTCATTGAAGTTAGTTTAGAACAAAAACCTGTAGTATGTGCATCAGAATACTTTACATGGCAGAATACCCAAATCCACCCTCAAAGTATAGTGGTAGGGACGGATCCACCCTCGAACAAAAAACAAGGACAAATCCACCCACAAAGTATTTGACTTGGACAAATCACCCCAAATTTAACGTGTAACATCATTTGACATCAGCAATCTGTTAATTTGACGTCATCTGACATCAGCAATCCGTTAATGAATTAACGGATTGCTGATGTCAAATGACATCACACGTTAAATTTGGAGTGATTTGTCCAAATCGAAAACTTTGTGGATGAATTTGTCCCCGTTTTTTGTTCGAGGGTGGATCCGTCCTTGTCACTATACTTTGGGGGTGGATTTGGGTATTTTGCCACTTTACATCAACTGTTGGTCGTTCAAGGTCTTTCTCAATGCTGTCCTCAATGTTGTTGAAAAACTTGACATTCTTTCTAGCTTGTAGGGTCTCTTCATCTTCATTGTCTGTTAACTCAGGAACATCAATAATATGATCTTCCTCATCATCATCAAACTCAACTCTGACACCATCATCAGTTACAGCATCCCCATCATGAGTTTTAACACTAACACCTTCCTCAGTAACGTTAGCAGCAGCCCCATCAGCACCAACACTTTCCTCATTAACATTAGGTTGAACATTGTCAGTTGCATCGTCATTGTCCT